TTTTGAAGGGTTCATGAAATACATCCAAAGGTCAAAACCTTAGAAGACTAAGCTTATCACCACCTCATGGCAGAGACTGCTCCCAAAAGTAGGGGCCACACCCCCACCACACACCCTCCTTTAGATGGAGGACTTGGCTGGTTTCAGAAGGCTCTGACCCAAGCCGCCGTCACGTCCAACACTATTGCTACACCTGTCCCTGGGTGAGTCCAGTTCCAAACCTGAGTTAGCCCCGTCCCAGCCATGCTGACAAGCAAGCTATTAATAGTAACGGTAAGGTGGAGTGTTAGACCTGTTGTTAGTCAGAAAGAGATCCGTCAGCCATTAGTTTCTGCTGAAAGGAACAGACCAGGAGTGCAGGAGTTAGTCGAGGTAAAGGAGAGGTTAATCAAGAGCCGGTCAGGGCCAAGCCAGGAACCTGGAGCCCCCAGACCCGAAGGGTTGGCTGTTAGTGGTCAGCCCCCGGGGCCGCCAGGGCGAGGCAGGGATTAGCTGGGTAAGAGCAAGAGTTAGTGCAAAGGAGCCAGAGATTAGCCCAAGGACACCAAGGTGCCTACTGGAGGTGAGGCGGAAAGTCACCCCCAGGTGTGGCCCCGGTGTAGCAGCTGGCGGGCTCTGGGGAGGCAGGCTGGGCAGGGGCCTGGGGCCAGGGAGCCAGGGAGAAACTCCTGACTGGCCTGAGACATCGCAGGACCGCTTTGGCCCTGGAGTTCATTTTTGGCTTCCTACTTCTTCCTCACCAAATCCGGAACCCAGAGTCAAGGAGCTTCCTTCTGCCTTCTCCAGTCCTAGCGGGGGGCCGACCTCAGCGACCACGGCCCAGGAGTACTTCTCCCCTGGGAAGCTCCATCCGCCCAGCTTCAGCTATGGGAAGGGTCCCTCCAGGCAATTTCCTGTTGCAGGAAAGGCCCATCTCCCTGATTTCCTGGCCGTTCTTTCTCACTGCCTTGTGACAGGCCTCAAACATCCCGCTCGCTGATTCCGGTGTAGATGTAAGCAATGCCTCTCTTCACACACTTCAAATATGGAGGTGGCTGACTTCCTGTACTAGTCCTCTGCTGTCCAGTGTGGGGAAGACCCTCTCGTGGATTGCCAGTGCAGGAAGGGCTCGTTACTGACTTCCAGGGCATGACCGGTCTCCTCCCATTGACTGCTTGGCCTCCACAGGCTGCTTCCCAAAGTAGGAAACTCTACCCTCACTTCCCTCCATGGCAGGTGGCACAGGCTTCTTGCTCCCTTGGCTGGGAAAGCCCAGCACTCTACGCTCTAACCCGCAGGCCTCCACACACACCTTTCCTTGGTCCTGCCCACTCCCAGTGGCAACCAGACAGCAGAGAGCATGCTCAGTGGCCAGCCCCTACATGGCCACCACCTCGGGCCTCTAGTGTGGTTACCGGGGCCCAGACCCGCCTCAGACATGGCTCAGGGGACTGGACTGGACTCATGGCCAATTGGGACTGCCAAGTGGGGCACCTGTCTGCAGGTGCCCAGAACATCTGCTTGCCAAAAGGAGGGGGACCAGCCCCCGGGGGGGCCCAGAGCTCGGCAGGGCTGGGGTTAGTAAGAAGAGAAACAGGGTTAGTAGGGCTGGGTTAGTAAGTCAGAGCACAGCACCAGCGGACAGGGGCCTCGGCAGGCACACGCGGGAGTCTCTAGGAGAGAAGGAAGAACACACGCGGGTCCGTTAGTTTGTTAAGGGGTGGTCGGGGTGCAGTGGAGGCACCCCTGGGTTAGACAGGTTAGTAATTGAACAAAGAGCTGCCTACGAAAAAGAAAGCTGAGGAGGAAGAATGTGGGGAAGAGACGGTTAGGGGTTCAAAGCGAGCATCGGACCCCTGGGAAGGGTCAGTGTGCAGAAGACCCCGAGGGACCAAGGCCAACACAGCGGGCACCAGCGGATTTTCTGGGCCTCTGACTCCCACCCTCGCCCTTTTTTGCCATGTGCCAGGGCCTTTATACCCAAGGGCATCCTCACTACAGTCGGTAAGGTGAGGCGCAGTACCCGCATTCTGCTGCCACGGAAAGTGGGGCTCAGAGAGAGGAGGGGACTTGCTCAAAGACCCCCAGCAGGAGGTGGCAGCGTGCGTGAGTCCCACTGGCACACCCTGTCCTGGCATGTGGTTCTGCACAGAGACCCAGGCCACGGCCGGGGCCTTCCGGAGCCTCGTCTGCCCCCCACATCCCAGCCCCTCAAAGGCCCAAGAGCTGCAGGGTTAGTAGGGTCTGGCTGCGGGGGGTTAGTAGGGCATGCTCGGGCCTGGTTAGTGGGTTAGTCAGTTGGCAGAAGGCCAGGCACCTCGTCACACACCACAGCATCCCGGCCGAGCCCTGGGTTAGTAGGTTAATCACACCATGCAACGCTGCCCGGCCCCCCAGCCGCAGCTCCAGAGGCCTCCCACCCCACCAGCCGCGGGTGGCTGGGCCTGACCAGGGCAGGGGGTCTGCCTCTCGGCCCCCAAGCACCACTGCAATGCAACCTCTCTCCCCACAGACCTGGCTCTGAAGCATTTGACTCCCCTATTTCTTGCCTAATGGACCTCAGAGTCCCCCAACCCCAAACACTTCTGCTCCCCCCTAGAGATGGACCCCATTTGTCCTGGCTGGAAACCCCCTGCCTGTTCTGGTCAGCCCCTTCCCAGAAGGCTGGAGCACTCAGGCACACACATGTGAGCACACACACACCAGCATCTTCCCACTAAAGGTCGGACCCAGCCCCGGCCAAGCTACCAAGTCAGGTGATCTCTCCCACCTCCACCTGCCAGGCCCCCTTGTCCTCCAACCAGGGCCTGCCCTGCCCCTCCCCCACACCCAACTTCTCAGTGCTCATCTGTTGCCCACAGCCAGGTCCAGACTCCTCACCCCCACCCCCATTCTGCCTTTCCAGTGCTACCAAGCTGCCGAGTGCCTTCTGGTGACGGCCTCTCTTCCAGTTTCCCACAGAAACCCTGGCCTGGCAACACCCCCAGATCTAAATGATGCTCCCTCGGAGAGGTCCTGTTGCCAGTAACACTGGGAACACCTCATCGGCTGTCAGCCCTGGGTATTCACAACTCCCAGCAGCCCCTAAGGCTCTGCTAAGTCCTGCCCCATTGGCTGGCTTCTAACTCGACTGGGGGCGGGGACGGGGGTCATCTCCTAGAATTTAGCCTGGGAATCTCTGCTCTGACTGCCCTCTTGAAAGCTCTCAGCTAAGCCACCTCTTCCTCACCCTGCAAGCCCTGGCTGGTTTAGCTTTTGCTGGGGACCCTGAGGGGGTCTCATTCCCCTCCAAGCACTGTGCCCTTACAGCCTGTTTAGGCCCCAGCCTCTAGCTCTCTCCCCCTCAGCCTGGCTGTGAAATCCTGAAGGTTTGGAGCATGGCCAGTTCTTCACTTCTGCCCCCCAAGCGCAGGGAAGGACCCACCACAGGTGTGCCATGAGAGGAGGGGGGCTGAGGTACTTCCAGAAGCATTTGAGTAACTATGGAAACCACGAGGTGCAGCTGTGCCCCCAAGCTGATTAGAGAGGGGCATTAGGAAAACGGGCACCTAGTCAGGATCTACAGTCCAGAGCGCGGAAAATAGATGAGCCCTAATTCTAAACTCCAGGTGCATGGGTGTGCTTAGGGGCCCTCTTGCAAGAGGCAGGTACTGTGCCAGGGGCAGGATGTAATTAAATCCTCCCTGCCCGCCCCCCACACTCCACCCCACCCTCACACCACTCCCCACACCTTCCCCCCCCACAAGCACAGAGATCCCCTTTCAGAATGGACATCAGGTCCTAGAGGTGACTTGTGCCCGGGGGCTCTGAAGTCCAGCTCTCTCTCCCAGGGACCCCCGTCTCCTGAGGGCGCCTCCTCACTCACTGTGTCCAGCCAGTACCTGGGTCCCCACAGCACCCAGGCCACCCTGACCCCACACATCCTACTCTATTTCTGCTTCCTGTATCTCTGCCCCCCACCCTGTGTGTGTGGGGAGGGACCTGATAAGGGTGGGGAACACCAGGCTATTCAAGCCTGTGGTTCCCCGCTCCTATGGACTTGAACTTCATCCCATCCCAAATCCACAGGATGGAGTCATCAACCCGTGGGACTGCAGTTAGAGACAGGATGTTTAGGAGGTAACGAAGGTTACCTGAGGTCATAAGGTAACCCTTGTCAGATATGACCCGTGTCCCTGTAAGAGAAAGATCCTAAATCTCTCTCTCCTGGCCCCCAAGAGTGCACATGGCAAAGGCCAAGTGAGGACATATCACAAAGGTGCTGTGCAGATCTGAAGGCCAAGCTGAGGTCTCAGGAGGCGCCACCTAGATCTTGGGCTTCCAACCTCCGCTGCTGTGAAAAAATTCATTTCTACTACTTAAGTGGCTCAGCTGTGGTTTCCTGCTGTGGCAGCTGAGCTGACTAATGCAGGCTCCCTCCCCATGCTGGGAAAGGGATGTTGGAGTCTTAAACTCGCCCAAGGAAGACCACTGCCTCTCAGGCAAACTCGGGCAGGGGCTGAACTTCGTGGAATGGAGAGGTGGGTGTGGGTGACCTCAGCCCTTAGGGAGAAAGTGCTCAGAGTGGGGTCTGCTGCTCTGCTACCCCTAGACGGAATCCAGGAGCTGGGTGACAAGGAACAAAAGTGTGAGATGGGGCTGCGTCCACCCTCAGGCCCTGGGGTGAGGCTGGTTCCAGCCCATTCTCTTTGGGTGACTGAAGAAGGCCCTGCCCGTGTCTGGCTCCAGGAAGGGTTTCCTCATCACTTGCAAATTCTGCCCTTTCAAGACCACACATCCTCTGCTCTTCCAGCTCCACACCACTGGGGGACACCCTCCCGGACCCTCACTGCCTCCTCCGGGGCCATTAGGAAGAGGCAAAGCACAGAAAAGCCCCATCCCTAAAGCACCCACAAAAATGAGATCACAAGGGTAAACAGCACAAGACACTCCCGCCAAGCCAGCATGGAGCTCCGTCTGTGCTGCGTCCCAGGACGGGTCCCCACCGCCCAAACCCCACCCCCCCATCCCTCCCACCCCCCTGTCAGTAACCAGTGCTCTTGCCGTCCCCCCAGGCCTCTGAGGCCGGTCCTTAAGGAAGCACAGTCAGTGTGGCTTGGCCCAGGCTGTGTGGTCAATGGCTGGGATGTGAGAAGGAATCCAGTCTGCACAGGGCCAGGAAGGGCCTCCAGGCCAAGACCGGAAGGCCTGACGGGCAGGGTCCAGGGGGGTGCCAGGCTCCCCCATATCCCTCAGCTGTCTTCCAGAACCAGGTCCTATCTTGGCCGAGCGCCTACCGGGGAGGCTTTTATCCACAGGAGGCTCCATCCCAGAGTTGGGAAGGATGAAGTCTTCACAGAATTGTCCAGGGTTCCAGAAAACCTCTGAAGACTGCTCCCTGTGCCACCGTGGCCAGAGTCCAGAGTCACCTAAGGAGAAGACCAGCCGGGGTCCTGGAGATGCAGCAGGCCCAGGCCCTGCAGAAGGCACAGCAAGTTAGCAGGACACAGCTCCCTCCCAGCACCCATTCACCAGTCCAGCCCCGTAGCAGAGAGATGCCTTGGTGGGTGGGGGTGAGAACTTTGAGCATTATTAACTTTTAGAAGAAACTTGGGAATGGAAAGGAAGCAATGCAAGCCATGGGTGCCCCACCTTGGCCAGGCCAGGCCAGGGGAACCAAGGACAGGAAACAAAGGGAGCCCACAGCTAACCGGACACCACGGTGGAGAAGGGGCAAGGCTTAAGGTGGAAAGAAAGGCCTTCAGTGGCCTGAGGAACCAGATTACCTTTACAGGATGCCAGACAAGGGCACCACAGCCCACCCCCTGCATGCACGCACACACACGCGCACACACACACACACACACACACACACACACACCTCTCAGGACCGGGAGCTCGTTCTCTCACTGAGGCAGTGATAGAGCATGTTCTTATGTGAAGACCTGAGAGGGTGGGACCATGTCTCCGGTATCCCCCTCTGGGTCGCCAGCATCTAGCTGGAGAAGGGGGTCCTCCCTCTCTGTGCTGAATGGAGGAACCTACTGAAAGCTGCACCATGCGCCCACCATGGTGGTCTTGATTCTATCCCGCCCAAGCCCTCCAAGACCACATAGAGCCAGCCTTCTGGACACCTGACTCCAAGGCCTTCTTAGGAATCCGGGGCTGGGAAGGGGTCTTGGGTGAGGAAAACAATCCGCCCACCCCCAAAACTAAGCCTGATGTGGCCTGTCTCCCCACAGCCCAGCCAGGCCTACCTGGCAGCATCCGACCAACACCTTGGCAGCCCACGCTCCGCTCCCGTTGCCTTCCCCAGATCGATCCCGCAGGCCCATCCTGGAAGACAAGAGCCAGCCAGGCCTCAGGAGAAAACTGCACCCCAGCCCCTCCCAGGCCCCAGACCTGGCCGGAACTCTCCAATAACAAGGAGTCCAGGGAACCAGGGAGGCTGGGCCAAGGCACAGCACCCTCACTGCTCTCCTCTCTCCTTCCCCCAGAATGTCTTTGTAGGAGCAGGGGAGACTCCCTCCATCCACCTCCCTGCTTCCCAGCAAGAGAACGTGACCCAGGAGAAAGCGAAACAAACTCAGCTTTTGTCAACAGAAGTGAGAGCACTGAGCAGACACAGGCCCTGGAGCTGTGCCTGCCTCCTCACTGTGACTCTGGGACATCTGTCCTCTCTAAGCCAGGACGCCCGTTAGCCCTGACATTCACCCGAGGTACACAGCAGTAACCCCGGTTTGAGGCCATGGGTGGGAAGCAGGAGGGGCTCCCCACCCAGCCTGGTTGTTTATGCCCCACCCCATTCTCCCTCAAAGCTGGGGACACCAAACTATGGGCGGGACTCTGATGGCCTGGGGACTCTGATGGCCCGGGGACTCTTTGATGGCCCAGGGACTCTTTGATGGCCTGGGGACTCTGATGGCCCGGGGACTCTGATGGCCCGGGGACTCTTTAATGGCCTGGGGACTCGAGGACCCTCGCAGCCTATTTTTAGAGCTTGTGTTTGCACCTGGGACTTGCTAGGGACACAGGTCTAGAACCAGCGATGCCAGAGATGCTTGCACTGAGGAGAACGTGCCCTGTGGGCACAAAGCTCAGAACCCGCCTGCTTCCAGGGCCGCTTTCACAAATAGGATGCCAAGGGGGCATCCTATTGATGAGAAGGGCCACCCCAGGCCGCCAGGAGGCCCCAGGCTCCCATGCCAGACCTACAGGTATCTGAGACGAAGTCACTACGCTCAACAGCCCTTCCAATGGCCAACCTTATTAAATAGTCTTGGTGCCAAAAGTGGGGTGTGAAATTACACTTCCTGTGGCCCCAGAAAGTGAGGACAAGGTCTCCGTGGCATAGAGACAAGGTCTCTCTGTGGCATAGAGAAAAACGTAGTCAAATCCCCAATTCTCCCCCCTCCCCTTGGGGAAGCTGGTCTCCTCTACTCTCCTGCCCAGAGCAAGGAAGGGTGGACAGGGGCCCCAGGGCATGTCTGTGTCAATACTTATCTGCAAGGCTGCTTCCCCTTGGGCATCCTGTGGACCTGGGCGCATCCTTCTCTCTCTTCTGTCCCTCTTCTGTCCCGGTGATCTCTTCTGTCCCGGGAACTCACCGAGCTCTGCAGACAGACCCTGGGCTGCTCAGAGAAGTAGCATTTGACCACAGAGACCTTCCCTTGACCTGTGGACCAGAACCCCTGACATCGATAAGGCAATGAGGGCTTCAAGGGAAATTCTAGCTCCTGGTCAAGCTGACAGGAGGTAGGAAGTCTGGCAGGGGGCCTCTCTCATGGTGCACAGGGTTAAGTCACAGCACTATGAAGCTACCCACAGCCACTGCAGCACAAAATCCATCCCCAGCCAGGGAGTGGAAGACCCCTCCTGTCTCCCAGCTGCTCCCCTCAGCAGTGTACTTCACTTGACCTGCCTGTTCTGCTCCCCACTCTATCTCTGAGGAATCCTCTCACTACCCCTGCACCTCTGCCTGGACTCCAGCTCTTGCATGCATAGATAAATCTTTTTTAAAAAAAACAAAAAAAAGGCAGGGTCTTTGCAGTCAGACACACGCTGATCACAAGGACTATGGCTTCCCAGCCCGCCTGCTCAAAGTGTGACTCCAAGATAATTTTGGTTTTTGAAATTTAGTCGGTGCCTGGAACACACAAGTGTTGCTAAAAATTAAATAATTTAAACTTCGAATAAGTCTCTGTGCGACACTGATGTCCCAGATGTCTGGAGCCTGTTTAAGCTGTGGCACTCACTACAGGCTCCTCCCTCCCCCAGAAGTGAGTGTGCAGGGGGAAGGGGTTCCAGGCCATGGGGAGGAAAGGGGAATTAAGAAACAAATACCAAATTAATATACCATCTTGGTGAATGACTAGCCTAACTGCTGCGCATTCATATGGTGGGGTCTACTCAGAGATCGAAATGAACTATCGCTCTGTCTATAGCGTGGATTCCAGGTGAAAGAAGCCTGGCTATATGATTCCACTTACATGAAACACCCAGAAAGGCCAAGCCATAGACCCAGAAAGTGAGTCCTGATTTTCTGGACTTGGAGGGGCCAGGACTCACAGTATGTGCTGTGAGGGACCCCCAGGGGCAAGGACAATCTTCTAAGAAGGATTCATGGAGGGGCACACGACGTGACAAAGTTGATAAAAATCCTTGAATGGGGTGTTTGAAATTAATGTATCTGTATGCTATTTAAACCGTGCCTCAGTAAAGTTGGGCTCCAAAGACCTGTATTTCACTATGCAGACTGAACAAAAGAGGTCAAACACAAAAGACTTCATATTAATAGAAATTTAGAAAAAGCACATCTAATCTATAGGCTGGAGGGGGACTGACAGGAAACATTTTAGGGTGATAATGTTACATATTATGATTATAGTGGTGCTATACAGGTTAGACTTTTTTAAAGATTTATTTATTTATGCATACGGAACTGGGGTACAGGCGTGGGGGGTGAGAGGCTCCCCCAGAGATAGAGTGGGGAGCAGAACAGGCAGATCTACTGAAATGCACTGCTGAGGGGAGCAGTGGACAAGATGGGAGAAATCTGCCAATCCATGTGGGTCAGCTCCCTGGCTGGGGATGGAACTCAAGCTGCAGTGACTTCAGAGAGCTGCATAGTGCTGAGACTTAACTCCTGCACCACCAGGGAGGCCCACAGGTATATACATTTTTCCAAACACCATAAAATGCACGTTTTAAATGGCTGCATTTTATTGGATGTAAACTATGCCTCAATACAGTTATGTTTTCAAACTCATTGATAAGCGATGACAGAGGAAAAGAACCAGGATGAAACACCACACAGAGCAGGGGGGCCCCAGAGCCCTGGTATCTCAAGAGCTACCTGCAAGGACAGTCCTTTTCGGGCCAAATCAGGGCCCATCGGGGAAGCTCTGATGGAGAAACTGAACCCCGGAGGGCCCTCAGAGCTTCCCACTACTGCTGCAATTCAGGAGATCACCATGCATATGGACTTCATGGTGGGCCTGACCCTATAGCATGAAGCTGGCTCCCCACCCCACCCTCAAGGGGGTACAAAGAGAAGAGGAAAGGTCACCTTGATTACTCCATTGACGGCCATGTGGAACCACAGGGGTAAACAGGGCGAGGCCTCCAGCTATCACCAAGAGAGAAAGAAAAAGGGTGGGAGAATCAATATGTGCCCACAGTCATGTTGAAGAATAGATACCAGGGTTCTGATCTCAAATCACAGCATTTGCCAAACCTGATTTGATTGGAGACAGAGGAGAAGCAAAACAGGAAATCGAGAGGCAGCTTGGCTGGGCTGCAGCCAATGACCCTAATGCACTGGATATGGACTTTGCGGCGTGGATCCCCAACCTGCTCGGCCACCTGGAGCAGCTTCGGCAGCTGCCTTTCTGTCTGCAGAGTGGGGGTGCCAGTGCCCACCTCCCAGGGCTGCTGCGAGGATTAAGCGGATGGCGCTGTTGCCCACCAGTGTGCAGGCTGCTGTTTCCTCGCATCATCATTACTCTCCGGGCCCACACCCCCATTCTCAGAGCCCACACTGCCATGAGCACCGCCACGGGCTAGCCATTTCCCCTGAGCTTGGTGTGCAGTTTCTGTTAAAGGACAAACAGCTGCTGGGGAACATGCATCTGATTGCATTTTAGGATTCCCCTGGGTCTCGTTTTTTTTTTTTTTCCCTGACTCTGGAACAAAATAGCTGCTCAGAGAGAGCTGAGGCATCAGGACAAGCTGGCCTAAATTGCTTTGGATGAGTGAGTGCCAAGAAATAGCAGAAGCGGCTGCACATAAGGAGGTGTACCGGCCACCCCAAAGGAGACAGGCCAAGGGAGAGGAACTTCTCCGAGGAGCGAAATGGACCATTTTTTGTTTTAATTAATTGAGGCTGACATACACTGATGAGTCCGAAATTCTAATCTCCCTCTGAAAGGGGCACCATCAATTATGGGGGGGGGGGGAAGAAAAACAAGATGACACTAAGGACAAGACTAAATGTGGGCACCTTTACCTACCTGATAAAATACAAGGGTCCTCTTTTTTATAAAGATTTATTGATTTATGCATACAGAACTGGGGTGCAGGTCAGAGGTGCAGGGGACGGTGAGAGGATTCACCAGAGACAGAGTGGGGAGCAGAACAAGCCGACTGATGAAGTACACTGCTGAGGGGGGCAGCGGGCAGGCCATGTAGATCACC